TGTAAAAAAAACATTTTTAATATTTATTTTTGTAAGAATTTTACACATTTACACATGTATCATTTGTAATAAAACGGATTGTTATTGGTATTTTTTTGGTATCAGTTCATTATTTCCCAAGTACATTTACACACATACAATCTGGTGAATGAAGATGAACCAGTTCAAAATGCATTTATACATTATGCATTGTTCCTGAGACATGAATATCAAGTAAAATGCATTTTAATAATTTTATAAATAAATGCGTTTAAAATACATTTTAAACGCATTTATTTATAAATGCGTTTATTTCCATTCTGATATGGCTCGATATAATAAATGCATTTAAAACGCATTTAAAATGCATTTATTTCCAAACGTGTTTAAAACGCATTTTGAATGCATTTAAAATGCATCCACCTCATCATCTCAAGTGTCGAAAACTTGGCAGTTTAAAAGGCGTTTTTTTCTTGTGTAAAAGGCGTTTCTAATACATTTTAAACACATTTATAACATATTTACAGTGCATTGAAAAGAGTGAAAAAAAACACATTTTAAATACATTTCAAATGTATTCTTATTTGGTAAGGGTTGTTATATTAGTTTGACAGCCTACTGTCCTGGTCTGTATGCACTGAAAAATAAATAAATAAACAATGACTGTTGATAAAGGTACGTTATGAATAAAACACAACTGTGTATACCAGAATATTTCCATCATAATAGCTACTGATTACGACGACTTACATTTTGACGGGATATAATTCCTGTTTGTACATGGACATCATTGGTGGCAATCAAAGTCTGTGTTCCTGTTGTAACACGGTCTCCATTTTCAGGTTGATTATAAGCCGGTTCTGTTGACATCTCAACAACATCGGAATCACAGCCCAGCACCGTGTCAATGTTTCCATCGATGCCTCCCAACAAATTTGGCGGTATATCCACAGATTGACTCGGATTATCTAACATAGCATTGATCACCTGAGAAAACCAGGAAAAAATGTTGAATGCGGGATTTTTACCAAAATAAAAAAACTAGGTCATTCGACGCGGACCCCATTCGACGCGATACACAAGCCTCGCGTTTTCTCAGTGAATACATTTGTTGTCGGAAAAATCGGACGAATAAAATTCAGTACAGACATATTCAAAATTATTTGTTTACAACCAGTTCGAAAAAATAGCACCGATAACTCGCTACGACACCACGCGGA